AGGGTTTAGGGTAGGAAAAGCTTGTAATGCAATAATGACGAGGTTCCGCATGGTTTTGCCAGGCTTACATGGCAGCAGGGGGGCTGGGCCGCGTTTGCAAACACAATGCTCGAAATGACAGTTTTGGACAAGATATTCATCTGGGTATTGCAGAAGGTCCTTCACAAGAGGAAGCTTTGGAATTCTTCTCTTTCACGTTTGGAGATTGACGACATTTCTCAGATCCACCCCTCCTTAGGCGATGGCGGCTGAGGCTGCTCAAATTTCTTGAACCCGCGACCTCATTAGGAGCCCTAAACCCTAAACCCTAAACCCGTAAGACTATTCATTTAGACACACCCACTCCTTACGCATTAGGCCACTTCGCTTTATCTCATGTCTTACTGTAAGCGCGCTTGCTAAATAGGCGATGACGGTCGATCGCATTTCCTAAACCCGCCCTGCCGTCTCCCATGTGGCGACGGTCGTTTCATTTCTCACACCCACCGCTCTGATTCGGCGATGGCGGTTGATCGCGCCTCTTCATCTCACCCAGAGGTTAAGCGCTAGCATTCGGCTACCTCTCTTAAGCTCACGCCCTCATTCAAGGACGGCTATTGATCACATTTGTCAAACCTGCCTTTCACTAGGCCATGGCGGTTGACCACCTGTCTTAGAACCGCCCCCTTATAAGGCCATGCCGGGTTGTTCACAATTCTTGAACCCGCCCCTCGTTCGGCGATGGCTGACATTTCCCAGCCCTTCTTCCTTCCCTGCTTCCTGCCATCCTTCATTTGTTCGTTGCTTCCTTGCATTCTTCCTTTCTTCCTTGCCTGCCCGGCCCCCAACAAATAAAAGGGCTGGGTGCCTGTCAAAAAGCATAAAGTTGTTGGTTCCTGTCTCCTTGCTGCATCACTGACAAAATCCCGTTTGTGACGAGCTAGTACACCTGCCGAAACACAAACTCTCATCGCTGCCACAGCAGATCCAAAACTTGTGCAGATGATGGTGATGAACTGATGATGGAGACGACAAAACTCAAGTTGAATGTTACCCACACCCCACCCTAAACCCTAAACCCTAAACCCTCAGCCTAAACCCTAAACCCCAAACCCCTACGGTCCCAAAGCCCGCAAGTGCTCAGCGTCGGACCAGGCCGGCAACTAGAAACGAGCGCCGAGGCCGTGCGAAGCAGTGCTCCTGCCAGTTTAAAGTTTTTGGGCTTAGGGTTGAGGGTTTAGGGTTTAGGGTTTAGGGTTTTGGGCTTAGGGTTGAGGGTTTAGGTTTTTTGGGCTCCTTTTAGGGTTCCTACGAGCATTGAACCAAGAGGGTCCAAATATATAGAACCATTGCGGAATTAGGTTCCTAAAACCATGATGAGGATGGTCTTCTGGGACCCAATGCCATGATGGTAGCATGTATAAGGTTTTGGCTTAAAAGTTCTAGAGGGCTCTGTAAGGGTGTAGGGTTGTGGGTTCACATAGACGAGACGTCTACACAACTAGACTATGGTTTTGAAGACCCTCGAATCGACCCGAACACGAGACTCAGCAGCAGCAGTGGTCGCAGAGTGGTATGAGGAGTGGGAGGAGAGCAACAACAACAGCAACAGCAACAACAACAACAACAACAACAGCAGCAACAGCAACAACACCAACAACAGCAACAATAGCAACAACAGCAAAAACAACAACAACAACAACAGCAACAGCAACACCAACACCAACACCATCACCA